ATTTCATAGAATCATAGAGTTGGAAGAGACCACAAGGGGCATCGAGTCCAACCCCCTGCCAAGCAGGAAACACCATCAGAGTACTCCTGACATATGGTTGTCAAGCCTCTGCTTAAAGACCTCCAAAGAAGGAGACTCCACCACACTCCTTGGCAGCAAATTCCACTGTCGAACAGCTCTTACTGTCAGGAAGTTCTTCCTAATGTTTAGGTGGAATTTAGACCAGAAGTTGCCACCAGAATGTCCTCCAGATGTTTCTGGACTACATCACCCATCATCCTTGACATGTTCTGTTGGCTGGGGTTGATGGGATCAAAATTTGGAGAGCACCATGTTGACTGCCCCTGTTTTGACAGATTCCAGCCAGCCTCAGCTAGAACAGCTGTGGTAGCTGGGGCTCATTGCTTTAGTTCCAAACACCAGTTTGGGGGACGCTGACATGGTGTCTTATGGCACCTTCCAGACTTACAAGTTCATTATGGCATAAGTTTTTGTGAACTAGAGTCCTTTTCATGTGTTTGGTAAAGTGAGCTGTATGTAGTCCATGAAAGCTTATGCCATAATGATTTTGTTTGTCTCTGATGTACGGCACAAGGCTCTTTATGGTTTTGCTGCAACAGTCTTTTATGCAGGTAAATTGATTGAAGAAAATTTGTGAGCGCTGCTGTTTGGAATTCTGAAAAAGAACATAACAACATGCATATAATACAGCTGATACTTAAGTGTGTGAGTGTTTTCATCAGAAATATATCCTTCAGCTTTTCTTCTTCTCTTTGCAGGTCCTGAGATATTTTGACTATGTTTTCACTGGCGTCTTCACCTTTGAGATGGTTATCAAGGTAAGAAACAAGGGAAAGAATCGTGAAACCAATGGAAAGATGGTAGGTTTGATATTGCTACAGTGTGCTTTGCCATCATTCCTTTGTGTGGCAACGCATTCCCACCTCCCTGCCCTTTGGACCACCCAAATTCCAGGAATAAAAAGGAATGCTGTTATGGCTATTGGGTGGTTGCTTGAGAGCGATCAGGCAAGATGCCTCACTGGTCTTTTCAAAAGCTTTATTATTGGTGCTAAAACCTTTAGAATGCAGAATGCCTCTGTTCCATGTTTTGCTCACTCACTAGCAGAATCTGATAGTGGGCGGTCCTTAAATCTTCCCCAGCAAAGTAGTTTATTGACGCCCAGCCTACGCCTCCCCTCTCTGCGCGAAGCCTACTGTGCAAGGAAGGCCTGGGTTAAGGGGGACCTCCTTCCTCCCCGCTTTGCTCAGGCAAGGTGCCCTGGCACCGCCTTGCATCCTCCCAGCCCTGCAGCTCTTCCCCACTAGAAGACGTGGCTTCCTTCCTCCGCTGAGGAAGTGCTGCTTCCCACGATCTTTGGGGGCTCTCTGTAATCCATCTGCCTTTCCCCCTCTTGCCTCTGAGCCGATGGCAGTTCCCTGACACATGCCTACTAGCGTTTGGGTAAAATCAGGCCACAACTACAGATGTAAGAGGTTTGGCATAGGCATTATGCAGAGCCCACCACTTCCAGCCATCCAGCAGACAGGACTTACATTTGGGGTCAACCAAAAGTGAAGGAGTCCCTGACCTACGTCAAGGAGTAGGTCCCCCAGTGGACTACACCTGGGGAGCAGACAGAAGGATCTCCCCAGGATCTCTTTAATGGGATACCCCTTTTTCAGAGGGGTGGGCAGAGGCTACAACCATTCAAGACTATGCCTACCCAATGCCTAAGCTGCCAAAGTTGTGACAATTGCTATGAGGATGGCAGAGGGCCAGAGCCAATTTGCCAACTGCAAAAAATTCCAACCTGTCCCCAAAGGCGATGACCAGCTATGTCGATAGCAAGGTCCAGCAAAGCAACGTGTGTCAGCAAAATAGGGAGGGAGGAAGTGATGTAAAAATTTGGGATTTGGCTTTTGCTGCCCAACTCCCCATGGGGCTCTGAGTCCCCTAAGTCCATGATCAGTCAGAGAAGGACAGATATAGGCAGGATCCAGTGGAAATCAAGGCAGATACTTATTTTTCTGTTGCAGAAGAGATCCCTCCCCTCCTTGCAAGGAGGGAGAGACCCTGAACAAAAGTGTGCAGGAACCTTTAAAGGCTTTGGACATTGCCCAACCCCCTTAGCCAAAGACCACCCCAAAATCATCCTACATACATTATAGAAGGAGGCGGTTTACAGCAGAAATCCTGTCCGCCAGGTTACCTGATAATGGTCACTGGTTGCATTATCTGGGCAGCCTGGCCATTCTTTGGTGATGGTTCATACTTTAGTTCCTGAATCCAGGTCACAGGCTCACCCTATTCATACACAAATACACCCTTAAGACAGAATTTGCAAGCGAAAAGACAGTGGGAAGGCTTTCCCCATTTGCTTCCCTTACTGCAGAGGAATATTTGAGGTCATTGGGAGAGTCAAAATGGCTTCAGGATTGCTCTCCCGTACTATTTCAGACATATGGTTTATATATTTAGATATGTGTGCATTTATGAATATTTATACTACCGGTACATTTGAGACCTTAAAATTCTTATAACAGGAGGGAGGAATGCCAAGGAGTGGGCTGGGCCTGACGCCACATTATTAGGGAGACCCAAGAACTTCTGCTGCTGCGTCACCTTTCAAACTATTTGTGCCCACATGCAAACTCCCTCTCTCTCTCTCTCTCTCTCTCTCTCTCTCTCTCTAATTCCTTGATATGCTGGAGTCCAGTTTATGAAATTCCTCTACAAGCTGGTGGGGGAATGGGGAAGGAAGCAGAAGGGGCAAAACTGATGAGTTTTCTAGTAAAAAGAAACCCCCACACCAAATAAATCCAAGAATCATCTCACTTTCTCTGCACTTGCTGAGTCTTCCAAAATTAGGCACAGCAAGAGAAGCCGTGGGTGTGAGTTGTTGGTGGGATCTCGGTTTACAGCGACAAGTTCTGTGACTTCCTCTTTGTGGGTGATGAGCGTTGGCCTCAGTGGAACAGAATGTGAAATGGTTTCTCGAGTAGAAAGAGAAAATTGAATACGCCACCCCACTCTCTCTCTCTTCTCTCTCTCTCCTTAAAGCAGAACCTTTTGCTCATCTTTGTCATGTTGCAAATGTCACTCCCACAGAGCAGAGCTTCTAAAATTAGGCACCAGATTGGCAGTTGGGAAGCTAAATTGGCATTCTGGTTTTCATAAGCTCCTAGTGGGGCCGAGGCTTATCTAAATCAGGGCCCTGTGATGAAGCAGGCCCTTTTCCCTGGGCACACCATCGAAAGGTGTATTTTGTATGGCATGTCGGGACTGAGGAAGGAAACTCAAGGCCCCTCTGCATTGAAAAACTGACCAGCTGATTGCTTAAAGGGAAACTTGCAAGCAAGTCTCCCTTTCCCTTTGCCAATCAGTGAGTGGTGTTCTGAGCCATGCTGCCTCTGAAAAGGAGAGATTCCGTTTAGCTATTACGTCTGATAGCTGTTGAGAAATGTTCCTCCCATAAATTCATCCAGTCCTTTTTAAAAATGAGGTCACAGAAGCTACTGGCTATATCACTAGCTTTCTGAGGGATCAGACACAAACAGTGAGGATTGGGCCTGTTACATCTACCTCCCTGAAGCTCAGCACTGGCAACCCACAGGGATGTGTGCTGAGTCCCTACCTGTACTCGTTGTATACATATGACTGTATTTCATCTGATCCATCTAGTACAGTTATTAAGTTTGCAGATGATACTGCCGTAATGGGTCGAATTACAGGTGGAGATGAATCAGCGTACAGGGGGGAGGTTCAAAAAGTATCTACATGGTGCCTAGAGAATAACTTGCACCTAAATATTAGCAAGACAAAGGAGGTGGTGTTGGACTTTCGGAGGAAGAGAGGGGAACTAGCCCCATTGTATTTCGGGGATGGGTTGTGTGGAAAGAGTCTCTTCCTTTAAATTCCTGGGAGTTTACTTTAGTGAAGACCTCACTTGGGAAAAACAATACAACTATCTTCAATTTTACTGATCAGATGCAGAAACCGTCGTGTTTACAAAAAACATTTAGTTTACAAAAGTGGCACTTTCCCATTCCAATGACTTTATGACTAAGTTGCTTCTACCTTTTCCGCAGATGATAGATCAGGGATTAATCCTGCAAGACGGCTCCTATTTCCGAGATCTCTGGAACATCCTGGACTTCATTGTGGTGGTCGGAGCCCTGATGGCCTTTGCCTTGGCGTAAGTGCCTGCACTTCTAGAGCTTTCCCTGTTAGTGTTCAGACTGTCACCTTTCCAATAGCTCTTGCGCAGTCCAGGGCTGTGCTGCCAGTGAAACTCTGGCTCAGACACTCCCCAGGTTGGTATCTATGCTCTGTCAATCCAGTGAATGCCTTTGCCTCTGTCACCTGCTTGAGATTTATTTGTGAGATGGGGGTGTTTGCAATGATGCAAGAACATTGCAGGAAGGCGGGAGGGGAGGAAATGACAAACAAAAAATGCAATCTGGAAAGTGAAGGGCTGCCCCCGGCTGCCCCCAGATTGTTGTGGTTTCGCCCCTAGAACATGTGCAATAGGAATAAAGAAATGAGCAGCCAGACATACATAAGCTGGGCCTCATGTTCACGCAATCCCATGACTGCAATCATGGAGCAGGAATGCTAACATCCCTCACCCCCTTCCATTCTCTCAGTCATCTATCCATCTATCCATACATCCCCTACCCAACCCAACTCATGAATCAGCTTGGCATTCACCCTACAACACAAGAAAGCTATCCCTTCTAAGAGTGCCCAATTGACATATATATTGCACTTTCAAATTTGGAAATATATTCCATTGATTCAATATCAACATGTTTATGATTTTGGCTTCATTGGCCAAGCAGGTAAGACTCCGTCCTGAAAACCCTACAAGTACTTTTTTATTTATTCAGCCGGTTCTTTTTCTTGGGGCACATGTACACGGCAAACTTAAAACTACATGTTACATAGAATCGTAGAGTTAGAAGCGACCACGGGGGTCATCTAGTCCCCTGTAATCTTTTTGCCCAGCATGGGGCTCAAACCCACAACCCTGAGATTAAGTGTCTCGCGCTCCACCAACTGAGCTAAGGAAGAACCCCAAAGGAATGGAGCTTTCTGAGAGCTCTGAGTCCTGCATTAGGATCCCTACCTGGCCCTCTAGAAACACAGCACTTTGGATAACTTGGTTGAAAACAAGCTAGTTTGGGTCTGTAGTGAGGACACATATCTTCATTCCACTGTATATGTAACAAAACACTAGGGTGTTGGGTTGCTTTGGTTTGGTTTGTAAAGAATAGCCATTTCAGGAAAGGGCAATTTGGAGCATAGCAGCAGTGCTGAAGCCCTTAGGCCCACATTCTCCTTCTCCAAATTCTCCTCCTCACCCCGCAGTCCCTTTTCTGTCCATTATGAGCAATGCTATGTTTGGTCCATGCTGCCAGTGCCTGCAGTCTGAACCACTGGTTGATCAGGGCACTTACTACTGGGCTTCCTTGTATTCCGGTTGCATCAGCTTGCCCAAAATCATCCTCCATCTGGAAACATACAAAGCGCCATTGCATATCTATCCCTTAGGGCTCATGATTAGTGTTTTGTGTTTTTGCTAATTAGCTGCCAGGCAGCTGCTTTGAAGATCAGGGAGCTGCAGCCAGCCAGCCAGCCACCCCTTATGAGTCTAACTGTATGATACATGTGTTTGCAAGTGTATGTTTGATGTGTTCACTCTTCACATTTTTAGGTGTGCTCTTAATTCTAGGGAGGGAAAGTAATGTCAAATGGAATCAAGGCAAGGGGGGAAAGGGGAGGGTTCTGGGATGGCAGAAGGAGTGGAATGTCAGGATAGCAAGGCTGGGAGATGGGATTTTTCCTCTTTTCAGATGCAAATCTTCTTCCAACAGTCTCCTCCTTGTTCCTTTGCTCTCTGGTGATGGCCCATTTCCTGATCTTTTCTGTTTTCTTTCCATCTGTCTATCGATCTGGCTTTTGACTGTACATCCTGGCCCTTACAGGAATGCTTTGGGGTAATTATACTTTTTGTTTCTCTTTGGGGGAATACGGCGTGAGGGAAACATGACTTGAATGGAAGAACCTGGTTTGCTTATGTCTGTTATGTTGCTATCCATTCACATAGACTTGTTTTTCATTCGAGAAAAGTGCTTTGTGCAGTCAGGGCTATCAGAAAGTGCTTTGTAACTGCCCTTCAGACTCATTCAGAGAACTCATTATAGGGCAGACTCTGATTCCAATTCATGCTTTCTGGGGACCACATATGAAATATGAAGCTTTCTGTGCCAAAAACAAAACAAAACCCACACTTCCATTGCGTGGACAGGCGGAGTCCCCAGATCCCGAGCGCCCCCCCCCGTCATGTGGAATAACGACTCAAGACAACGTGCTATGGGATTAAATTGGCCACAACTTTATTAAATTTCAAATGTGGGTAGACCTTGGCTCAGGCCTTGGGCGTTCTCCCTCCCCAGTCCCCAGCCGGGGACCTAGGGAGCATCAGGGTTATCCAGTGTGTGTGTGGGGGGTGGACCGGCTCTGGAGAACATATGTTCAAGCAGAGATAGCCGCCCCCGTTACGCCGCCGCCGCCGCAGGGGAGAGCAATGATGACCTTTCGGCGTACGATCAAAGCCTCCCTTCAGAAACCCCTTTAACGGGGAACCCTGGTATCACCGCCGCAAAGAGGAAGATGGAGGACTAAAGGATTCCGCCCAAGGCCTGATACCGCCAAAGTTGTGACGTTTTGCTACGGGAAAGGCGAAACCTGCCAATGCAGGGAAATTCATTTCCGGCCCTTTAACAGCGACCTTAACGTAGCAGCGCCCGCATACCTGTGAAGAAAAGTTAACCTGCAAAACCTGTGAAGGAAAGTTAACCTGCAAAATAAGACATTAACTGAGGGTGGGTAGGGTGGAAGAAGCTCTGGAGCCAAGTGAGGATTCCCAGGTAAGATCCTCCCTCTATTGTGTGGGCAGGTAATCCCTCCCCTACCTGGCCTGGTCTCCTTGGCAACGCTTCCCCCGGGTGGGATTGGACAACCGACTGAGGTAGGCGGAGACCTCCAGGTATCCCACCTGAGGGAAGGCAAAGCCAAGCCTATGCTGATGGAGCCGCTCCAGATCCAGGGGCTGCGTGCGTCCACACAAAGGGCACCCCCCGTTTTAAGTGGGGAGCGGTCATTAACACTCGAGAATTGTTCAGCCAATATCAGCCTTGTAACAGCATCTTACTTCAAGTAGTCCTTGTAAAAGATTTTTAAATGTCCAACTCCTGCAATTTTTCACAAACCTTCATACCCAGAATTTTCAAAGCCACCATACTGAGATATGCGGGTAACTATTAGTCTCAAAGATGCTTGGGAAAGGAGGAACCAGATGAGGAATGACTTTGTGTCTGTGCTGCAGATGCTAAAGGATCTTTGAATCATTATTTACTAGCATGACCATTGGATAAAAGGATCAGCTTGAAGGTAGACTGGTTGATAGACTCCTTTCAGGAACGGCACTTTGGCCTTTATGGAAGAAAACATATTCTTGTCATTATTGGGAGCAGTTATTGTGTTTGCATATAATATGACAGCTTTTGCCCACCTGGTTAGTAATTTTAGAGCCAAAGTTCTGAAAATTAACAGTGTTTTTTTGTCAACACTATGGCATACCCTGTGACATCTCTCCAGTGAAAATAGGGACGTCCCATTCCATAATGATAATTTTACTATTTATACCCCACACATCTTGCTGGGTTGCCCCAGCCACTCTGGGCAGCTTCCAACATACATAAAAACAGGCACATATGGTGGGAATGTCCCAAAATCCAACTCTTCTGGAATCAATCATACAAGAAATATGCAAAATAACTGAACAAGTATTAGAAGTCACCCCAGAACTGGCCCTACTAAACATCTTCCAAGATAATAATGCCCACTCACATCATAAAGAGCTCATAATCCACCTAGTCTCAGCAGGCAGAAACATCATAGCCAGACACTGGAGAGACCTGTCAGGAGTAAGCATGGACCAATGGTATCAAAGAGTATGGGAAACAGCCTTATTAGAAAAACTGACCAATAAACTGAAACTGGCATGGGGACAAATAGAAGAAGACGCCTTCACCCTGGGATGGCTCCCCTTTATCACATACGCAGCCCAACAAGACAAGAACAAGAATCCTCCAACAGCATATGAATCAATCTGGCTAACCTGATCTAAAAACACACACACATACATACCCCACTCACATACAAAACAAATCTCACTACAGCCAACCAAAGACAACCAGCCACACCCTAGGCCACCCCCAACCCCTCTCACCACCAAGGAAATACAACAAGTGAATAGTAAGAGAACCCACACAAGTAATGCTGACATAAAACCCCACACATACACTAAGTAGAAGAATAGAAGCATAACCACCTGACCCCACCCCAGTCACCATTCCCTCTCCCCCTCTTGTTTCTTCCTAATAGTTTAAACCAGAGGTAGCCAACCTTTTTATACCTACCGCCCACTAATGCATCTTTCTTGATGGTAAAATTTCCTTACCACCCACCAGTGCTCGATGGAAGGAGGATTCAGCTTGTGCCATAGAACGCCCTATCACCCACCTAGAATCCTGAAACGCCCACTAATGGGCAGTAGGGACCAGGTTGACAAACCCTGGTTTAAGCCAATTCATGAACCAAGAACTTACACATTGGCCACCAACAATGAAACATGTTGTAGATATTTTTCCACATTTATTATGCTGTTTTTGTGATACACAAATGACATGAGAAACCTTGGTATACTTATTTGTGTAACATTATTCTTGTTTATAAAACCCAATAAAAAACAAAATACCTTATTTTTCGCTCCGTAAGACGTGCCTGACAATAAGACGCACCTAGTTTTTAGAGGAGGAAAACAAGAAAAAAAAAATATTCTGCACAGAGCGTGTAAGCAGCTCTCGCTTTTCTTGCTTTAAAGCAAGCAAAGCGAGAGCCGCTTACATGGCTTCTTTCCTGCTTTGCACTGCTCTCACTTTGCTTGCCCATCCCTCCTAAAGTGATGTGACGCCGGAGGAAGAGGAGGAGGAGACACCGGGACAGGTGCTTTGCTGGGGTGGATGGGAGTCATGGCTCCTGTCCGTCCCTCCTCCTGCCTCGCTGTAAAGCCAGCAGAGCAAGAGCCTCTGACACGCTCTCCACAGCTCTTGAGAGCTGCGCAGAGCATGTCAGCGGCTATTGCTCTGCTGGCTTTACAGCGAGCGACGGACAGGACCCATGGCTCCGGCTGCGGAGGCATCCCTCAGCTCGCAACTGTAGCAGCAGCTAAGGGATCCCTTCTGCCGTCCAGCGCATTCACTCCATAAGACACACAGATGCTTCCCCTTACTTTTCAGGAGGAAAAAAGTGCATCTTATGGAGCAAAAAATACGGTACATAAAAACATAATAAAACATTACATGCTTTTTTAAAAAAAGCATTTCCTACACAGGATTTCACAGCATTTCCTACACAGGATTTCCTTCAGGGGGCTTGGGGGTCGCATAACTTAGTGCCCTCCAACATTTCTCCAATGAAAATAGGGACATCCTAAGGAAAAGTGGGAAATTTGGGGATGAAATCAGAAACCGGGACATCCCTGGAAAATAGGGACACTTGGAGGGCCTGATACAGAGAGATCCAATATTGGTCCTGTCGTGTAGCACAGGTTGGAGAACCTTTGGCCCTGCAGATGGTCTGAATGACATCCCCATCCCTGGCCATTAGATTAGACCCTGCTTGCTGGAGAGCCACAGGTTCCCCGCCTTTGCTATATCATTTGGTTAGGCCTTCATTATGTGTCTGCTTCAGGCCGCAGAGTTTGGGTACTGTTAATGGACAGCAAATTGTCAGTTGTTTTATGCGTTGCTTTCAAATTATTGGTTTGTTGCAGTGGGTGAGACGGCAATTGGATTTAACACCACAGCCAGTCATTCCCGCTCTATTTCCGTACACAGAAACCAGCACACGTCCAAAACAAATGGAAGGCAATTATTTTCTCTTTTATCGCGCTCCTTTTTGTGAACGGAACGGAGGCGACTGGAAGTTGTAAGCCAGAGTAACTCTGTGAGCTGAAACCCAGGGGAGGAGACCTCCCTGCCCCCAGGAGTTTTGAACTCCGCAAAATCTAGAGCAAAGATGACACCTTGCTCTTCTTCCCACTCTTCCCAATACCTGAGCTGGGTTTTGAGCTTGTAGCTCATCTTCCGATGTTGTTTAAAAGCCGCCATTAAGAAGACAGATCATTTTTGTTCTCCGTTGCTATAAAGAATAGAGATGAAATTGCAGGGAGGCCCTTTTTAGGTTAAGTATTTGGAGAAACATTGTGAGTCAAGCTAGACAATAAGGCAATTTTTCCACAAAGGCTGCACTGGAAATTCACTGGAAATTCGTAATAGTTGCTTCTCATTTTATAATTTAAAGACACAGGAGCACTCCTGAAAAGCTGTTTCCATATCTGAATACACTTTTGTTTGTTTTTTATTCTATGCGTGCGACTGAAGTTTGCTGGCTTATTGCCCAGAGGTGTTGCCTGTTTCTTTAGAAAGCTCACAATGACAGCAGCTCCTCCTGCCTCAATGTCCGTCTTTCCCTTATGACTGCTGCAGCCAGAAGAACTAGTCTGTTAAAATGGGTGTTTAGGGCTGCCCCCTTGATTCATCCCACAACAGGCAGCAGAGAAGGTGGATGAAGGGATCCTTGAAAAACTGGGTTGTCCTGGAGCTTATAAAGAGATAAGCGATATCACTGGCTCCCGAGCACAATTCAAAGTGTTGGTGCTGACCTTTAAAGTCCTAAACGGCCTCGGTCCTGTAAACCTGAAGGAGCGTCTGCACCCGCATCATCCAGCCCGGACACTGAGGTCCAGCTCCAAGGGCCTTTTGGCGGTTCCCTCACTGCGAGAAGTGAGGTTACAGGGAACCGGGCAGAGGGCCTTCTTGGTAGTGGCGCCCGCCCTGTGGATCGCCCTCCCTTCAGATGTGAAGGAAATAAGCAGCTATCTTATCTTTAAAAGACATCTGAAGACAGTCCTGTTTAGGGAAGTTTTTAATGTCTGATGCTGTATTGTTTTTAATATTTGGTTGGAAGCCGCCCAGAGTGGCTGGGGAAACCTAGCCGGATGGGCAGGGCATAAATAATAAAGTATTATTAAAAAGGTAAAGGGACCCCTGACCATTAGGTCCAGTCGTGACTGACTCTGGGGTTGGTACGCTCATCTGGCTTTATTGGCTGAGGGAGCCAGCGTACAGCTTCCGGGTCATGTGGCCAGCATGACTAAGCCACTTCTGGCAAACCAGAGCAGTGCACGGAAACGTCGTTTAGCTTCCCGCCGGAGTGGTATCTATTGATCTACTTGTACTTTGAGGTGCTTTCGGACTGCTAGGTTAGCAGGAGCTGGGACCAAGCAACGGGAGCTCACCCCGTTGCAGGGATTCGAACCGCCGACCTTCTGATCGGCAAGTCCTAGGCTCTGTGGTTTAACCCACAGCATCGCCCGCATCCCATAAAGTATTATTATTAGTAGGGATTAATTACAATATCAGTAAAACCCACTGGCACTTAAAAGTTGTGTGCCTTTAAATCCAAAGGGACTTTTCCGGAGAGCAGGGCAGATTTGCAGGAGTCCTCATGCATTTTTGCATAGGGCAGGGAATAGATGCCCCACCTGTCTTAGGCATCTTGCCAAAGAATGGTTCACCTCTTTTTATCTGCTCTGTTCAGCATTGAGTGGATGGCTACTGCTTTGATTGGTTTTATTCAATTGTGCTTCTGTAGTATTTTCCTTTTGCATCAGTATTATGTTCACCGCTTTGGGTAACTCTGGGCCAAAAAGCAGTATATAAATAAACCATAATATAAAACATATCCAGGTCACAGTGTGATCTGGAGAGGAGGCTAAGCAGAAATTTGCACTTTCCTCTGAGACCAATCAATATAGCAGGCTCTCCAATCGAAGCTGCAACCAACTTCAATCAAGAGACGTTATAAGCCAGGCTAAAAATATCGCTGGGGCTGTCACACTGTATTATGTAACTACCCCAGTTTAAGGTTGAGGTGCGGATAGCTCATAACCATAGCGGTTGTGCATTGTATTTCAAAGGACCTAGAGATCTTCCAGTACAGTGGTACCTCAGGTTAAGAACTTAATTCATTCTGGAGGTCCATTCTTAACCTGAAACTATTCTTAACCTGAAGCCCCACTTTAGCAAATGGGGCCTCCCGCTGCCGCTGCCAAGCAATTTCTGTTCTCATCCTGAAGCAAAGTTCTTAACCCAAGGTACTATTTCTGGGTTAGCCAAGTCTGTAACCTGAAGCGTCTGTAACCCGAGGTACCACTGTAGATCCCAATCTACCTTCTCCCCACCCCTGTGTAGAAGAATTCCCTAATGATTGTGCCTAGAGAAAAAAGTCTTTGGCCAACAAATCTTTTTACAGAAAAATTACCGTATTTTTCGCTCTAGAAGACGCACCTGACCATAAGACGCAACTAGTTTTTAGAGGAGGAAAACAAGAAAAGCCAGCAAGAGCCGCAGACACTCTCACACGGCGTGGATCTTGCTGGCTTTTCCGGGAGGTGGGAGAAGGGACTGATGGGCTGACCTCTGTCTTTTCTCCCACCTTTCTGAAAAGCCAGAGCAAGCTGCACAGCTATCGCTGAACCCAGCAGAGCAAGAGTGAGAGCTGCGCAGCACCTCTTGGTCTGTTGGCTTCCCAGTGAAGCAGGATGAGGGACAGAAGGGGCTCCGTAAGGGCAGCCTGCATTCGCTCCATAAGATGCACACACATTTCCCCTTACTTTTTACTAGGGAAAAAGTGCATCTTATGGAGCAAAAAATACAGTAGTTCTGGAAGAAGGCAGGGAAGGAGAGTTAGGACCTGGTTGTCATCCGGAAAGCAAGTTGTGTGTAAGGTAAATGGTTTTTTTTACTACTGGACAGGTGGTGAAACAGAAAAGTGTCACACAGATGTGTAGGGAGGCCTTTTCTATTTAGGATCACCTGGAGGTGAGAATTGCCGTGATGAATGCTGGAAAGGATGCAGAATGTGAATGTGGAGGAAGAAAACTGGGGAAAAGTTACAGATGAACCTTGCAAGCCGAGGTCACTTGAGCAGTAAAAGCAGTGGGTGACACCAGGCACTGATAAGTGTAATGCACAATGGGGGTAAAATAGCATTAATTATAATTCTAATTATACATTGTACAGTGCTAGATCTGAAACTAGCTGTTACCACTCAGGAATGCAATCTTAAAAGTACACTGAAAACGCCGGGAGAGCGTATTGCTGCAGTTTAATGTTAATAATCTCTTGATAAAAGCCAGTTCCCTCCTGGCATGGCGCTGATTCCAGGGTAAAGTGCCATTCTGACGGGGCCCTGCCCACAGGGTCGGGATCATTTTAAGCATTCTTCTGCCTAGGGAGGAGCAGCTTGTAGAGAAGCAGCCCCCGAGTGGCTGGGAAGGGTATCTGGAGGGAAGCACTTGAACAAAAGACCCTGGCAAATAATAATGCAAAAATGGCGACACATGCATAGGCAGTATGGTTATTGGCTTCCCACTGTGCTTGCTCAGTATAAGCATTTTCATAACTATTCTTAGGTGATCCTTAATTGATTAACGCTGCAATCCTGCACCTACTTACCTACTATTTCAGTTCAACAATTACTTTGATAAAATACATATTTCGTTATGTGCAAATGGCTTTAGATACCTATCAGGTCCATCAATTACCATATAGCATATATTCAACACAAAAAACAGTGACAATTTGTTGTTGACAAAGGACAGCTGGACATATAAAGGGCCGCATGACCTTCAGTAGCTTAGGGCCTCATCAAACCTAAATCCTGCCCTGAACTGAATAGCTATTATTATTATTTAAAATTTGTATGTCACCCTCCATCTGAAGATCGGAGGGCAGTTCACAGCGTAAAAACAGAAAACGAGATCACAAAATACCGTACATAGCAAAACAAAAAACAAACCAATAACCCACCTCCCACAAACTCATTCAAAGGGCAATAGGATGCTTAGGTGGCCAAAGGCCTGGATACAGATAGGATTGTACTGCAAATTACCCGCCTTCAGGCCCGTCTTACCCATTGAGGCTAGTGGCACCAAGTTCTGGAGGGCGCCAGGTGAGAGTTCGGGGATCACTGAACGAGCGCGCTGAGTGCGCCAGGGTGCGTGCAATGCTCCCGCTGAACGTTGGCCTGCAGGCGCC